TATATATTAATTAATATATATATATATATATATATATATATATATATATATATATATTTTAATATTATATTATAATAACTATAATATCATATCATAAATATATTATAATTTTATAGTGTGAAATAATTAAAAATATATTTAATGTGCAATATTAACATTTTAAATCAATTAAAAATTATTTTATAAATTGAACATGTGTCAAATTAAATCAAATATAAATTTTTAAACATACGATTCTCGAACAGGCACTTCTTCAGGTCGCACAAGCTAAGATCTAATGTTTCATCTTTTAATCTATTTTTAACATTTTTAAATTCATTTTGCTAATATAATAAATTAATCGAATAAAATAATAAAACACAGAAAACGTATGGTATTTGTGCTTTTTTGTGGCGTCACCTTCTGGTAGATAACATATTGCTAGAAGTTAAATGAATGTAATATCAAATGATATAACAATAAAATACTTTTTATTCTTCCATCTGATAAAAAATTTCATAATAATAAAAATATTTTCAACAAATAATACATGGATATGGTTAATGAAAATCAATATCAAGTAACTAAGAATATGTCATTTTTAACTTTCGCCTTTCGCATTTAGCAACTTTTAAAATTATACAAACGTTGGCAGAACTTGATTGGCGATTGTAGTGAACTACGATACATGTAAGTAATATGATGCATGTAAGCTATATCAATAGTAATGAATAGTTCTATACATTTACAGCAATTGCACTTGTATGTTTGAAGAAAATTGACAAGTGAAGATAGATTTTGATTTTATCAGGAATTTGTGGTAAACGAAGGAAATTAATAACCGTGGTGTATTTAATTTTTAAGATTTACAAAAATTGTATGATTTTCCAAACTATTTTTACATCAATTTATCTACTTTTAGATTAAAAATTAAATTCATTCAGAATGTCTACACGGTATATGAAAAAAGTATATGGAAGCGATATGTTATCCGAAAAGGATAGTGAAAATGAGAATGAGATAGACAATTCAATAATTGGCAATGTTAAATCTAAGACATTCAACTTGTTTGATGTGGTATGTGTTCAAAGTGCTTTAATTAATAAATAATTTTTCATTTGTTTGCATAATTATTTAATGTTTTAATAATGTTATGATCAAATTCTTTTTTGAATCTTCTGAATATACATTTTAATATATTATTTAATATTAATAAATTTATCTTTTTTTCTTTTAGTTGAATCAAAATTCTGAAATTAGTGAGGAAGAAAATGAAGAAGAACAAATGATAGATAAAAATTGTATCAATGAAGTTAAACGTAAGAAAAAAAGAAGAGACGAAAGAAATTTGAAAATTCTAAAGTTCAAATTGAATCTAAAGAAGAGGATGTAGATGAAATTGAAAGAACAGTAAGAGAAGTAAATAAATTGCTTGGAGAACCACTTCCAAGTTGTAGCTCTCAAAACATAGATAATCAATGGATTGAACAAAAATCTAAAGAAGATATTTTATTAGTGCAACATAAACATTTAAATCCATATAATGAACTTAAAAGAATTTTTGGTAGTAAAACAATACAAGCTGAACAAAAGTATGTTTCTATTATTAAAAAGTTTGTTATTTTATTGTAGATATAAAATAAATTATATAATTAGATCTTGTTAATTTTAACAGTAATAGGAGAAATAGGGGTCGATTAGGTCATTTGAAAAAAACTTGGTTGGTGTCTGCTAGAGATAATTGGCCACCAATTAATAAATCTGGGCTTTCAATGTCTTTGGATCATACTATATCATCTACCAATAATATTCAATATTTTGTATATGATCACAGTCCATCATATAGACAAATTCAATTAAAATTTTTGGAAGCAGTTGAAAGTTTGAATCCTGAAAATATTGTTGTATGTTATATTTAAATTTAACTTATATCAATTTAAATGTATTGCATTTAAATATCAAAAAATAATATATAAAAGAATTGAAATTTATATTTTTTTTTAGAGTATAATCAATGCACATTCTTATCATGTTGATGCATTATTGCAATTAGCTGAACTTTGTAAACTCAATGAAGATTTAGCAATGGCTGCAGAATTTACAGAAAGAGCTTTATACTGCTTAGAATGTGCTTTTCATCCACTGTTTAATTTTACAACTGCCCTTTGCAGATTAGATTATAAAAAACAACAAAATCGTGCTTTATTTATAACTTTATTTAAACATCTTAATTTTGTTGGTGGTCGTGCATGTTACAGGTAAGAAATAAGATTTTAATGCTTTTCTCAATTTTTTTTAAATTTATTCAAATTTCAGAACAAGTTTGGAATTTTGTAAATTACTTTTATCACTTGATCCAGAAGGTGATCCATTAGCTGTGATTCTTTCTCTTGATTTCTATGCTTTAAGAGCAAAAGAATATGAATGGTTTATTGAATTTTGCAATCTTTGGGATAATACAAGAAATTTAACTCAATTGCCAAATATAGCATTCAGTTTAGCTTTAGCTCATTTTCATTTAGGCAATATATCTTCTGCTAATGAACTTTTACAAAATGCTTTAATAATGTTTCCGGGTGTATTAATACCATTATTAGAAAAATGTAGTATACAGTCTGATAAAATGGTAATTTCATATATATTACATATATTAATAAAAAAGTTTTTAATAAATTTTTATATAAAATTGAAAAATTATTAAGTAAAAAATGTTTTATAGGTACAAACTCATAATTTCTTTAATACTAAGGCAATAACTTCAACTTCACCAGCATTAGAGAAATTACAAAATTTATATGTTGTACGTAATTTTCGTCTGTGGAAAGAAACAGATCTTTTACCATGGTTATGTGAGAATGTACATATTGTATTAAATCGCGTTGATTCAAAAGATGATTATGTAAAGTATTGTGAGATAAAGCGAAGCAAACGTTACCAAGGAAAATTACCAAGAAATATTTTACGACATATTATATTGTCTGATATAAAAGATATTACTGTAAACGTGCAAGAGGTACAAAAACTTCTATATTTTTCAAATTTTTTTATCTATACTATTGTAAAATAAAATCTCATATGAAATTTTAGGTACAAAATGATGGTTCTGTTCTTTCACATGATCCTTTACCACCAGTGGATAGTATTGATATTTACAAACGACCTACTACAAATACAAGCACAACTAGAACTAATTCTAATCTTTTGTCTCTCTTTTTTTCATCCTTGTTTGAAGATATTAGTGGAGATGTTGCAAATGCTCTAGAAGGATTAAATTTACTGTGAGTATATAATAATATTAATAATAGTAATAATAATAATAGCAGTAATAATAACAGCAATAATGTAAAATTAATAAACAAACAATTACTATATATATAACATAATATTTGTATGTGAAATTTTTTAGCTATGATAACAACGAACAAACATAATGTTAATTAATTACTACTATTGATTACTGATTACATCATAAAATAACAATTCAAGGTTCAGAATACTTTGTTTATTGAATGAACTAAAATGAAATCAGGTGTATAAATATTTTTAAAACAATTACTATTTTTATGAAAATAATGTATATTTTATGTCAGGTAATATATCTAACGTTTAATAATGAAAATTATAAAATTATAATTCTTTTTTTTATTATTATTCTTACTATTATCACTACCATTATCATCATTATTGTGATTACATAATAATTTATTATATGTACATGAAACTTTATATACTCTGATTATATATCATGTGTGATATGAAGTTGTACACATACATTGTTTGTATCATCTTGCACTTCTTGTTATAATTTTTTGAAGTTTTTGATGCAATCATTATCAACTCAAATTGTGAAAAATTGTAGATACATAAAATAATATATATGTATATATGTATGTTATATATATATATATATATTATATATATATACACATACATATACTATACTAATAAATAAACTATATTGTTGCAATATTTGTATTAAAATGTTATTTCTGAATTAGAGTTTTTTTTTATTGGTATTTTCAGTGTATCATATAGAACAATGTAAAGTATATACTTCATAAATATGATTCATTAAAAAAGAATTATTATTTTCAAATAGACTTATTTTATGTACAGATCTATACAATCATTTTGTATTATAATTTTATCGACTATTCTTAATCATTGCTTCTAATGTAATCTTTAATCTTTTAAATAATTTTCTGTGTCTTTGTGACATATGAATATTGGCATATATCAATATAATAATTGATGAGCATAAAATTTCTTTTTTGTGTGCGTTTACTAGTGTAATATTGGCGTATTTCTGTAATTTTATTACAATAATAATAATTACGATAGAAATACACTTTCCATATAAGAAAATATATCATCATCGAAGGTGAAAAAAGTAGAAATCGACCAACTTATTAACAGAATATTTAAAATTCAGAGAGACCATTGGTCCATAATAACGTCATTTGTATTCTTATTTATTTTACACCATACTGTGAAATACGGGATTATAGCGACAAATTCCGGGACCATATTCTTGATAAGCTTTTTTAGTATGACAAACTGTATAAAATTCTGGATCACTAGCCAATAAAGCACCACCATACCATACTGCCCAACGTTGTTTGTGATGTGAAATAACATGGACATCTATAGGCTTTGGCTAAAATAAAATGAAACATAAATATTGATATATTACTTTTTTTTTCATTAAAATATATAAAATATATACCGTAATAAGACTTCCACTTAACGTTTCGCTAAGTTTGAGACGTGCATCAACAATTCGTTTTATATCACGTTGTAATCGTCTACCAAAATCTTTAAACATCGTAGAACCACCTGATAATACAATATTGCTATATAATGGTCTTCTAACATCTATTGGACAATTTTGAATTACATCATCTACAATTTCACTTAATGGTGTCGTGAAATCTGGATTAGAAAACTAAAAAATAAATAAGAGATAATAAAATTAGAAATATGATTATGCTTTTGTATACTTAAATTTAAATAAATAAATATACTTCAGGATGGAAGAATATCTCTGGTCCTAGAAACCTTTCATATCCAACATCCACTACAAATGGTTGTTTTGTAATACTGTTCACACCTTCATATTTTTTTATTTTAGTAGGATCACTATCATACTTGGCAAATTCTTTTGAAATGTCAGGACATATGTAACAATATTTTTCTTTTATTGCTTTAGCTGTTTCTAATGATTGTTCAGGTGGTATTCCAATTTCACGTTCTCGTAATAAGCTTTGAATAAAATATGTAATATCGCGACCAGCAATAGGAATATGTTTTATACAACTTCCTATAACAAAACCTTCTGCCTGAGTAATAGAATAAATTGATTAATTACAAAATATTTTTTGTATGTTTATATTTCACATATTTATATTATATTCATATATATTTCATACTTCTCTTTTTTTAAACATACCACTGGTATTACATGTGTAACTCCATCTCCACTATCAACAACCACACCTGTCAATGTTCTATCCTCTATTGTTTTAGCTGTCCAAGAAGCAGCTAATGCTAATACTGCTTGTACAGCAATATAAAGACCTGGTACATTAAATGACTCAAACATTATTTCTGCAGTATATTCACGATTTTCAGGAGTGTTTAATGGTGGTTCCGTAAGTAAAAAATAATGATCTTCAGGTTCTGCTCTAAGATATTTGAAAATACATTGCTGTAGGAATTTTTCCATTAAATCCCAGTCTTCCACTAATCCATGTCTAACTGGATACTAAACAAAATTGAATATAAATTATAAAATAATTTAAAAAATATTATATATTTTAATGATAATACTAATTTATAATATGTAACATACTTTTACAGAATAACCAGTAGCTTCAAAAGCTTCATCTCCAATATAAGCATCCAGATCTTCAACTCCTTTAGTAACTCTTCTAGCATTGTTATCTCCAACTTTTGCAGTTTCTTTAATAGCAATTGCAGATGGAATTATAAGTTGAGGTTCTTTATTGCCTGCAAAGCCCAGTTTTGTATATCTGTAAACTCACAAATAATCATAAATAATTTTTTAATAAAACAAATAATAAAGATTTCTATAATAATTTTATTACTAATACATTACTACTATTTGTTTAAATTAATTTTAAAAGTTTATTTTAAACATTTACTAGCATAATTTTATTTACTTTTTAAATATATATATATATAATAAACAAATTTAAATTATTAACATCTATTTGAATATTAAGAAAAAACAGAATAAAAATAATTAATTTTAAATTCATTTAATTTATTTATTTAGATATTTGTTTCATTCGTAAAATGACATGTGTCATTAAATCACATTTTAGTCTATCTATTCTAGTCGAAAATAATTTTTTTAATTTCTTACCCCGTACCCACATCGATCACACATGCAGGAAGACGACCAAGCATCGTGTATTTTTCGTTTTTATCAATTGTTGCTTTTATCTTTATTTAAAAGAAATATGCCTCAATTACAGCTCAAATTTAACGCTCATCCGCTCCAATTAACCACACCTCGCTTTGAAGATAAAGCAGAAGCGCACTTTAAGCAGCATATTCATTGAACAAAATTTTCTATGATAGATTGTCAAAAACTCATAGGTGTTATGCATCATTAGAGACTTGTGGCTCCCCATAATATAAAATCTTGGGCGGCAAATACGAATTGTATAATACTAAAGTATAAAAAATTTTGAAGAAAATTATATTAATTAATTATCATGATTATAATATATTGTAATTATCAATCATATGATGATTTATATAAATATTTATATTTATATATGTTTATGGAGTTATGAAACATTATTATATATAAAGTATGCTTTCAAATATAATCAATTAAATTTATTTTCATCAATATTAATTAATGATTAATTCAGTTGAATATTTATTAAATAGTATTTCACCAATTTAAATTTAAAATATTGTATAAAGAGAATTTTAAATTAAAAATGATCGTTGTATTTAAAAAATTTGATAGAATTTATTTATACAAACTTTATAAATATTGCGTATTACATAGCTATAAGAGACTTTCAGAAGTCTGTCTAATACAGAAAGTCTAATATTTTAACGTTATAATGAGTATAATGATGCAGTGTTGGTTTATTAAGTTTAAAAAAAAAAGTTTAATTTGAATATTATCTTATAATTATATGTAAGTAATAAATTCAATAATATTTAAAGTAATTAAAAAAATATTTATATATATAAATATATATAAATTTCGGGTAAATATGAGGTTACATGAAGTTGTTTCTATTTAAAAAATTTTTAATTATTTTTTAAATAAAATTACATCTTTTAATGATGAATAAGTATATCTGAAATGAATATAAAATAAATTGAATATTTTATTGAACAATAATTTTGTATTATTAAAAAAATAATATTTAAAAACATAGACACATGTATAATAAACTTTATTTTTGAATATCAATATTTTATTTTTTAATAGCACTTGATTAGAATTTATAAATATCAAATATAATTAATAATCAAGATTTAATTTTATTTTAAATCAAACTCTAATCTCAATATAATTTAAATCTTGTCCTAATTGTTTATATAGATTTCATTTATTTAACTGCAATTTAATTACATTAAATTTTTATGTTTTAAATTGCTTATTATTCTATAATCATATATATGATATAGAATAATAATCATATATATGATTATGGTTAATTTGTTATAATTATTTAAAAAAATATTCATTATTAAGATTACTATAGGTACAATATAAATTTTTTTATAGCACATATTCGTAAATACATACATTTATATTGCATATATAATACTAATATATATATTAAAACAAATTAAATGCAATATAAAATATTATTTAAGTTAAATATAAAAATATAAAAGATTATTAAAATTCTATGATATAATGTATTTTGTAATATAGTATGATGTAAATAATTATAAATGTTGTCATGGAAAGTAAATTCTTTCATTAAAGAAAAAATTTAAATTGTCAAATATCTCTCATTTCTTTGTTTATGGCACTTTATCTTTATTCATAAATCTTCTCGTTTTGATTTATTTATATTTTGATGATCAAATATAATTGTAGAATTTTCTGTATCACTTACATATCCTTGTTCACCTGTATAATGTGTTGGATAAATTAATAGAGGATTTGCAGAAAGTATAACTAAATTTCGTTTTGGATAGTATATTTTCCAATCTTCCCTATATGAAAAAATATTTTTAATGTATATATATGTATATTAAAGTTATTTTAAAAAATAAACAAAAATATATTTTGAATATTTTGAAAATTGCAATAAAATATTTTATTAAATTTTTATTTACCTAGGATGAACATCAGATAATATAGGAAGATATTCATCAACAGGTATTAATTGCTTTAATGGCATTGCTTCAATTAATTTCCTTGCACCACTTGCAGATAAAATATATCCTAATGTCCAGTAACTATAAGCAGCATGTACTAAATATTTTGATTCATCAATCCAAGGTTCTGCATTTTCTGCTAATCTTTTTCTTCCTAGATAACTAATATAAGATATTGAAATCATTGATTTAAAATCAAATATTGTAATTTATATAAAATTGATAATTAGTTGATATTAAATGGAATTTTTTAAATACTTACACTAAATCCCATTCTAAATGAAGATTCTTTAATTCTGTTAAAATATAATTTAACTTTTGACAAAAAAATGGTTCAAACCGAACATCATCTTCTAAGATAATGACACTTTTGAAATTATTTTCTATTACCTAATAATTTTCCAATTTTTTAATATAATTTTTATATATATTATTATATTATATATATTATATATAAATTTAATTTGATTAAAATAATTCATTTTTTGAATTTTATAATTACCTTATTCCAAATATTATAATGACTCAAAAAACAACCAATTTCACCCATAGTCATTGGTCTATAATTGTATATTTTGATATTAATTGTTTATATTATTTGATCTAAATTTTTCAATTTTTATCGTATACTTACCGATCATGATAGGGATCAGTATATTCTGACATTATTTTTATTCCCATTTTTTCGAGAATAGATTGATTTAACGCCCTAAATAAAAAATATAATTATAAAATAAAATTCTTTAAATATTTACTACTTAGTTAATTTTTTCGCTATATTCGATGACAACATTTGCTTATATTTTTATATTTTCGTTTCTCATATATAAAGACATACTATTGTTCCAACATCGATTTCTTATATTATAATAAAATATAATTGCTATATTACATGTACTATTATAATATTATTTTTTGGCGATAACGTTTTCGTATAATGTAATGAGAGAATCATTTTCTATATGTATATAATATATGTAATATATTAAAAGATATATTTTATATATTTTTTGTGATATATATATAAATTTAATATCTATAAATTTACTCTTGCGTCCATAACTTACCTACCATCAACAGCATCATGTGTTTCCACTCGAATTCCAAGTTCTTTAAAAAGTTTGTGCATCCTGTTACGTCTTTCTGGCCTTCTCAAAAGATTTATCATATAAATATTATCCACTTGTAATATATCATCAGGATATTGTACAAATTTTTCGAGATATATTGACAATGGAAGATCATTATTATCAGCTAAAAAAAATAAAAATTTTATGGTAAATGAAGATAAGGATAGAATAAAATTATAACTTTTTTTATTTTTATTTTCGTTATTTTCTATTTTAAATTAAGTTACTTTCAACTTACATAATATTTCTGTTTTGATATTAGTCAGTCTTTGTAAATCTTCGGCGATCGTTTCTTCTTCTTCTAATGGAACCATAATAAATCCATAAATATTATCGTTACAAATAAATAATGGCACACCTAACATAAATATAAAAGAAATTATTGAAAAAAAATATGAAATTTAATTTTAGGAAAATTTTAATTTACCAGTTTTATTAGCACCAACAGCAAAAGTTATTATATCGTCAATAGGACCGTTGTATTGATATAATTTTTTTGGATTATATGTCAAAAAATCCGAAAGCTGCTTTCTTAAATTTATAAGAACCGCACTATGAATCATAGGTACATTAAAACATCCTTTTTTTTCTCGAAACAAAATTGGTTCATATTCTTTTGTTCTTAAATAGTAATAATCACTAGTCATTCCTGCCCAAAAATTGCTATATAAGCCATCAGATTTTAACAATGGAGCAATTACAATTTGATTCTTTAAGATTAATTCATCAAGAGTATTTGGATTTGTTAAAAAAACATCCGCATCGAGCATCTGAAATTGAATAAAAAATAAAATTGATAATAAAATAATAAATGTTTTAAAAACATTGGCAAAAGTACAATATAAGTATCAATATTTCATTAAAAATAAATTTATTAAAAAGAAATCAATTTTTTACCCAAATGAAATCTGCCCATATATTTCTTCCCGCCTTAAGCGCTTCTTCGCGCAAATTTATCACATGCAAAAATCTTTGCGCCGACCAATTTGTAATTCCATTCTCATCGTCAAATCCTTTTGAGTTTTCATCAAAATTTATTTGAACTCCATGGTATTTATTACTTTCATTATTTAACCATGTAGATAATATTTCAATTGAGTTATCAATATTATTATCACTATGTATCCTTTGAAAAAAAAAAAATATTTTTTAAATTTTTAGTTAGAATAATTTTCATAAATAATTTGCGAATTTTAAAATATATACAAATGTTAAAAAATAAACTATATCTTTGTAATGATAAATAAAGATTTAAATATAAAATACAAATATATTTCATCTATTGATTGCGCATCAATTAATATCTATTAAAGCGGGAAATTACAATTTTTTGATACAATTCAAATATTGATTAAAAAATCTAATCAACAATAATTTAAAACATTATTGATAAACTATATTTAGCTGTTAATTTTATTATATTAATTTATTCGAAATATATTTTATTAAAATATAATGCAATAGTATTATAAAGTATTATAGATAAATTTATGTAAAATTCATGATAGTTGAAAAACAAATTATTCTTTGTTTTATTAGCATTATAACTTAAAATATTAAATTTATATTTTAATTTCTTAGATATAATCAAGATAACAATTTAAATTTTAATTACATTAAACATCTACATATTATAGTTTCTATAACTTTTATTTTACGACTTTATCAAAAAAAGGTTATGATATATGTACTTACCAGAGATGTATTCGTTTCTTTGGATAAGTCAATCGTTCCAAAAAGGTCAAGAAATACGGTAATGTATGTGCTTTATTACGTACTAAAATAATTATTAAAACGGTTGGCTTTTTTAAATCATGACTAAAATTTTCTAAAAACATAATAGAAAATATAAAAATAATGCTAATAAAATGTATTAATTTCATTTTTATTTTTAAATTCTCTAATATCTTATTTTATCTTTAATCGTTATTAATTATCTAAAATATAATAAAAGACACAAATGAATAAGAGTATCCTATACACGTTTTTTCATGTTTTCACTATGTTAATCATTGGTTTTGTTCTGATAAAATTTTACCACCCACATTAAAGACATGGTTGTCGGTAAAGCTGCAAACTGCAAACTTCATTTAAATAATTTTTATTAAATAATTTTCATATGCTCCGTATTTGTTTATCCAGAAGATGAACAGATACAGAACTGTCAGATAAATTGTATATTAGCATCAAAATAGTTTATTTCCCTGTATTTTCACAGGAAAATTATCATTATTGATATAGAAATGTTTAATTGTAAAACGAAAACATCAAGTGATCTTTATTATCTTTACTTAATGCAGCAATGACAATGATGATAACTATTATGATTTATCAAATCTATCAAATGACTTATTTCTATTAAATCTGAAAAATATTCTAAATATCGAAATTGTAATTATTAAACAAAAAATAGATTTTTTTAAATATTTTATCATACATTTTAAAAAAATAATAGCAAATTACATATTATTTATCGAAATAATTTTTCGAAAATAAAAATAAAATAATTTTTTAATTAATTTAATAATAAAATTATGACTATTGATATCTTTATCGATAGATATCAATAATATTGTTAAGATAACGATAATAGATAAAAATAACTATAATAAAGTTTCTATTTTTTATTATTCAAATTTATTTTTAGATAAAGTTTGTGTTTTATCTAAAATACAATACAAATATAATATCCGTTATTTTTCTTTATTCTCATTTTTAATAAGTTATATCACCAATCACTGTTATTATTTCTTTTTATATTTTTATTCTTATTATATTATTTATTTCTTTTTCTGTTTTTTTATGTTCAGGTTTTTTCAACAACTCTGACAATCATAATAAAGAATAATTTTTAGAATAATTTTCAAATAAGAAATAAAAAAAAATAATATATTTTAAAATTTATTTTGTATTTTATATTTTATTTAAAGAATTGTATCACAAAATTTTTTGTATTAAAATTAATCTTTTATTATAATATTTTTATACCAATAAATTTTATAATTTTTTGATCATAAATCAAACATATAATAAATATAATTATTTTCAAAAATAATATTTATTGAATATTTTTTTCATATTATTTTATTATTTTATTCATCTTTTAGTTTAAGATTTCTTTTTTTCCTTAGTTTTTAATTTTGATGTATAACTAAGACTTGATTTATCGAAATCCAATACCATAATACCTAAATCACCGCTATATCTATTTTTAGCTACCTATAAATATATATTTTACAATAATATATTTGAAATAATTTTCTATGCATTTTGTTTTTATTACATACTTGTAAATATTTTTTGCCTCGAATACTCGTAAGTCTATTATCTTGAATAATTAATACATTATCTGCTTCTTGACTTGCTTTTGCACTTCCAAAAATCGATGATGTTGTCAATTCTTCAGAGCTACGTTCTTTTCGTGGATGTATTATCATTGTTACATGACAATTGTATACAGTAGCAAAATTTCTAAATTTTGCTATTATATCGTCTTGCTTCCAAAATCTATAACGTAACTACTATTTTAGATAATATAAAACATATTCCACATGAATATAATTCTATTATACCTATCTACATATTTTGAATCATTAGTCATTCCCATCATAAATTGAACATTATCAATTACAACATGAGCTATATCATGTACATATGTTGCATGCTCAACTGCCTATAGAATATAATAAAATATATCATAATTTTAAATTCAATAAAAAATAATTAATTGTATTATATTCATTTTTACAATTGTATACCCACATCCATTACTATTTTGATACTTTGTTGACCATGAAATGTCATGAAATAAATTGGTAATTTTTCAAAAGCATTTGCATATGTATCAAAATTTTCAAGATTTTCACTTAAAGGTACACCTACCATTTGTTGTAACATTGTTCTTACTAATCTTACATTTCTTATTTCAAAACTTCCCCATAATGTATTGATACCTTGCATTGCTAAATCTAAAGAATATTCACTCATAAAGGTTGTTTTACCACATCCTAATAAAAACAGAAAATTCATTCAAAGAAATATATTTGAGATTCTTGATTTGTATATTGTATATTACGTATATTGTATATTATATATTTTATATTATATATTGTGTATTATATATTATACCAGTTGGCCCAGTTAATATAGTGAATTCACCTCTTCTATGGCCTTTTAATATACGATTTAAAGTTGTATATCTTTTCCATTTTACTCCTTGTACTTTGTCATTATTTTGTAAATCAATTAAAATTTCTTCTTTAAGATCTTGAAAGGTAATTATACTTTTGTGCCATAAGGGCTGAGCATTCTTTAGAATACTATTGAAATTATAATTCATTTCAGCAGCTAATTTTGGTCGAGGTTGTAAATCTGTTGGTCTAATAAGATAACATCTTTTCTCGTTCAACTTTTTTGCAAAATGTCTAGCAGTGTACCAACTTACTTCATCATTATCAAACCATAAAATTAACTTCTTGAATGATTCCATATATGGTAATAATTGTTGGGGTAGACTTCTTAAATTATATGGGAGACATATAATTATATTTGCAGATTGTTTTAACATTATAGCTAGTAAATCATCTATTGTGCTCACAATTATAGCAGTATCATTATTTTTACTATGATATCGTCTATATTCAATACATCCACTAACTTCAAAAGTAGGAACTGTTTCTTCCTTTTGTGGTTTAGTTGAAAGTAATTTATATCCAACTATAGATGTATTTAGGCCTATTAATGGAAAATATATTATATTCATTGTCTTGTTATAAAAACAATTTAACCTTGACATATCCTTTTGTAAAACATGCTGTAAAAAAATCATTTAGAAAATATATTACAATATATAAAATAAATATAAATCTAATTTATTTTATTACAGGAAATGAAAAATTATTTAGAAGAATATTGTATTCTTCTGCAGATAGATCTTGTATGCTTTGACAATTACTCGTTACATATTTCCATGTTTCCATAAAATTTTCTTTTAAACTACAGCTAGTTTTTAATATATCAAGTTCCTTGAGATTTTTTGTTTAATTTTTTTTAAGGATAAAAATTTTTCCAATATATTCCAGGAACCCATGGATTTACATTTATCACATATAAAAAATCCTATAATTAATTCTTAAATAAAATTTTATTGTAAAATTATTTTTACAACTTTAAAATGTACCTGTATTTTTATTTATATAAATTTTTGATTTCATCTTTAAATTATTACATATAGGACAGTCTATTATAAAACATGTATGTCCTTCTTTAATATTTAAGCATTGTTGTTTAAGAAAGTGTTTTAAACGTGATATATTCAATATAAATTTTTCATTATTTATATGAAAATATTTTTTATTAATAAAATATTTGATGGGTTGCATTTTTTTGGCATAAGTTTGTAACAATAGTTTAAATATCATATTAAATATATATATTAAAATAGAAATAAAATTTATATCACCTATTTTTTTCTTGTATTATATTCATTTGTAATTTTAAATTTATTATTATTCTTATTAAAAGTAATATTAATTATATAAATCAATTTGTGAAATTGATAATATTTATAAAAGTTTTTACATAATAAAAATATAAGTAGATAATTTAATTTTAAAGAATGTATAGAATTATGATTAATGAATTCAAATACATAAATTTATGTTGCAATTTATATTTTTTTTTATATTTTATTTTATATTTTTAACAACATAAAAGTCACATATTTGTAAAAAATATAAATTATTTAATATTTTTCAAATTTTTAATTAAATTATTTTTACTTTATTTATTATTATATATTATATTTTATGTTGTATATGTAAAATTTTATTTATTTTATTATTTTATTATATTTATTTTTTAAAAATGCATATATTATTTATTACGAATATACAATACTATTTACATCAATACACAGAGACATCTTATGGCCAAATAATACTTTATTCAATCATAAACAATGTAAGAAGAATTTATCACGTTATAGTATATTTAGAAACAAAAATGTAGATCAAGAATAAAGATATTTATTTGTACTTATTTAACAAATAATAAAAGTTG